AAAGTGGTGATGGTCCCTAAGGACCATCATACTTATATGGACCATCACTTATTAAAAGTTTCTTTTCTCTCTTTTTGTTTTTTTGTTTTTGAAATTTTAGGATTATTACAACCACATACTCTACTCATACTTCGGTTGTTCTTTGTGAAATCTGTACATAATTTTTTTGGGGTTTGAAAGTTATGAATGTGGAAAAGTTCATGTACTATAGAAACCTGTGTGCGTTTATGGTTTGAAATGCTGATGGACTTTACAGTGCAGTTGCTAATTCTTATATGGAACACCTTCTGTTAAAGAAATTTTTTGGCCCTTTAAATGATCACATATTTTTTCTTGGCTTCAAAGAATTTCAGTATCCCACACTTCCTTAAATATGTTGGAATAAGGACATGCAGCTTGAGGAACTTTACAATGGATAAGAGTTGCAACACTTTGCTTATGCTTTTATGCTATTGCATGTTAGTGACATCTGATAATTTTCACAGTCAAGGATTAGAACCACATTAATATCTCTTTATTATATCTCTAGATGGTCAATTTTGTTTCTGTTTGACATGTGCTACATTTTTCTTTAAGAATGTGGTTTTAATATTCTTCATTTACAGGGGTTGGCGGAACATAAAGATACATTAGGGGCACCATTATGCCCTTGTAGGTAATTGAATAATTTTCTTAGATGTCTTCCTTTTTATTTTCTGCTGGCATGAATTCTGGCTCCTCTTTTTCCATTTGATGAATGAAATAATGATGTGTTTTCTGACGTTATATAAATTTGTGAGATTCAGGCATTATGATGATAAAGAGGCTGAGGCAGCTCATGGTTTTTGGAATTGCCCATGTGTACCCATGAGGGAAAGGTACACATCTCTTGTCTATTACTTAACACCAAATGAAGTATTGTTTTGGGCTGTACCGGAAGTATTCCTTTGACAACCTTTTAATTGCAGAGACCGATGATATGATGTTATTTGTCCGCATATAAGCCACTGTGTGTGAGACTCTGTATTACGTCATGCATCATTTTGGGTGATTATAGGATTTTATTTCTTAAAAGTTTTTGTTAAAATAATGAGTAATTTTCCCTAAGAAATTGATATCGGTGCCCTTATGGTGGTGGGTTTGTGGGGGTGGATGGGGGTGGCTGCATGCGGAGGGGGGGGGGGGTCTTGTGTGCTCTATAGATAAACCCTACAAACACCTATGGGTGAGTTTCTATAGCCATGATTATCCAATAATATTTGAAGTTTTATGTTTTTTAAAAAATCCAATTTATCTGGAATTCACCTTGCACCAAAATAAAATATTAGAAACTAATTATCAAATGATGATGAAAAAATCCTTGAAATATTCATAAGGGTAATTTAGTCATTTTTATTTATTTGAATTATTTTTTATATTTTATTTAAGTGTGCCTCACTAAGCACACACCTACAAATTTTGAGGTTAATGAGATTTGAAAAAAATTATTAAAATTCAAATGCTATTAGACAATCATGACCATTTGATGGGCTTTGGATAGTTATGAAGCCATGAGTGAAACATTGTAGAACTTTACTCATGAATGTTTCTAAGAATTTTCATATATATATATATATATAATATAGGAAAACACTACACAATGCCTATAGGC